TTCATGTCGGAACATCCTGATACCTTAATTACACGAGCAGATAAAGGTAATTCGACTGTAATAATGAACTCAACAGATTATAATAAGAAAATGCATGAAATTTTATCTGATAGTAACACATATATAAATATTAACAAAGATCCCACAAATATAATAACAAATCAAACACACACATACTACTGACTAGGTGGAAGAAAAAGAGATATATAGATCAGTCTACGTATAACAAATTGAATGTTTTGGATGGTACAGTGCCGAGATCCTATGGAATGCCAAAGATCCACAAAGAAGGAAATCCACTGAGAATAATTGTTAGTTGTATTAATAATCCCTAATATTCCCTTGTGGGCTCTTACTATTTTCTTAAAAGAAAATTATCGATAAAAGTATAAAAAAAAATTTGGCTACATAAAAAATAGCTTTGAATTGGTCAATAATTTAAACGGTATTGCACTAGAATCAAATTATAAATTGGTCTTCTTCGACATTATATCTATGTTACATTAATATTACCACAGACTTAGTCACAAAAAGTATTGAAAAAAGATGGAGTTCTATATAAAAAAAATACAAGCATTCCTAAAAAAGAATTTCTAAACGCTATTTCTTTGATTATCAATTCAACTTATTTCAAATTTGATAATAAATTTTTCAAACAAATTTTTGGTATGTCCATGGGGTCTTCGTTGTCGCCGATCTTAGCGAATTTAGTAATTCAAGATTTGGAAGAAAATATTTTTTTCAATATTAATATCAACATTCTAATTTATTATCGATATGTGGATGATATTTTATTAGCAGTTCCGAACAATCAGATCAATGAGATACTTGATAATTTCAATTCTTATTATTATGATAGACTGAGATTCACAGTTGAGCATGAGGATGATGATTTTGTAAATTTCCTTGAAGTTAGAGTGATATTAGATGATGATTGTATCAAATTTGACATGTATAAAAAAAACCCACTAACTTAGGAAGATATCTAAGCTATAAATCTAATCATCCAATTGAACACAAAAGAAGAGTAATAATCGGTCAGCTTGATAGAATTCTTTTTCTCTCACATCCTGAATATCACAACAAGAATATTAAATCCATGATAAAAATTCTTCTAATTAATGATTATCCTCTTGACATAATCTTTTCTACAATTAATAATAGAATTAAAAAATTATCGAGTAGAAAGAATTTATATAAAAATAATGTCAACAACAATGATTCCATTGATCGCAATGTACAAATATTTCACAATACCATACATGTATAAAATCTCTGACAAATTTAATACTATCGCGGAAAAAAATAATTTCATAGTAGCGTATAAACCTATAAATACTTTGAATCGTTTCATAAAATTAGGTAAGGATAAATTAGAAAAAATGGAACAATGTGATGTGATGTACAAAATAAGCTGTCTTGATTGCGACTCTTCTTATGTTGGTCAAACCAAAAGGAAAGTAAAAACGAGAATCAAAGAACATAAAGCTAATATAAAAAAATTAAAAGATTCTCTCACTGTATTATCACAACATCAGATTGAATATGGTCACAAAATAAATTGGGACAATATTCAGGTGTTAGATATAGAACCGTTTTTTCAAAAAAGAATCACATCAGAAATGATATATTTATTAAAAAACAAATTGATGGTTTTAACAAGCAGAGTGATATGGAAAAATTACCAGAGACATACTTTCCTTTGCTTAGCATAACTCCCCCTACATAATATCATTTTATCCTCTCCTTGTTCTTCTATACATGTTTGGTATATAAAGCTGTGTATCATGATGAGAATTTGGCAGAACATCTTAACGAGTACTTTATTATAATAAGCCATCCACTTTCGATATTAATTCACATAAGTTTACTGGGACACAGGTACTAATTTTTATATTTTATAACTCGAAACACGAATTCGCAAACATTTAATTAATCAAGAAATGTTGTGCTCATTAGAATCTGGAAATTTTGCGTTCAATTAACAGCTAATTACGAACACTTGGACTATCGGAAATTTTGTAATAAAAGACGAATTCCTTTGGATATTATAACTCGAAACTCTTTGAACTATCATCAATATAAGGAAAAATGAAAAACAATTTTTAGTTAACGAGCGTTCTTGCGTAATCAATAATTAGACATGTTAGATGAAAATAAACTTAGATTAGTCGTCTGTTGCGTGAAAAATTTACGAAATTCTTATATACTGAAGATGGCCTAATTTAAGGCCGAAACATCTATTTAATATTTATTTGTAATTCGATTATATTTTATTGTAAATCAAATATAAAATACTCGCTAAGGATATCTTGCGTGATGTATGCCCTTTATCTTTCCGTTTTTATATATTTATTAGTACACATATTATCATAATTTTATATATTTGTGTGTATTTTATATTTATTTTTTAGATTCAAATAAAGAACTAAAAATTCAAATGGAAAAAGTAATTCAGATGTCACAGAAAGAAGATAATGCAATTAATAAACAAACTGATCACTTTCATACAACTGATTTCACTAATTTTATCAAGTAAGTTTGTTAATTGTTTTCTATTTATATATTTATAATGGAAATTTATATTTAAAAGAATTGTTATTAATTTACAGAGTATCTAAATAAGAAGTTTCGATTCTAAATAAAGATGATGAATGGGAAATAATTAGTTTGACATCGGATGAGATATTAGAATCAATTCAAATGCAAGATTTTATTGTGTAAGTTTTCATATTTTAAATGAAAAATATGAAAACTTTTTAACAAAAGTTTTATAATTTCGATGGGGACATAAAATGGAATTATTGGAATCATTAGAATCATTTTGTAATGTTAATAAAAATATTAAGTACTAACATTAAGAATATATTTTTCTTTGGTGTCAAATTAAAAAAAAGTATGCTGTATATTTATTTAAATATCTTTTCAGAGAGATTGTTGGCTTCGTTGATGATATTGATGGACCAAAGCCAGTCGGAAAAACAAAAAACCATTAATTATTAAAATTTATGCTTAATAATAATAGTTTACAAGTAGTTATTTGGAATGCATAAATAAAAATAAATAAATCGAAATAACAATAAATAAAACAAAAACATGAAAGGCGCGCGCTGAATGCTAGTCTCCTCTCCTAAAGTAAAATCGCCGTGTAACCCTACTAAAGTTGGCCCTAATTGCGATCCCATTGTTGCCGCTATATTCCGCTATATATAACATCATTGGTCCTTTCGTTCGCGATCGCATATCGCACTGGTGTCGTGTGACGCATTTCATGACAAAAAATAATCATGACGAAAGAGAACGATCAATTGACACGTGTGTGAGAGGTTAATGCAAATTATAGGTGAGTTATGGGTTAAAGTAATAAAATAACAACAGTGTAGACTGCAATATCACAGGTTTCATTTTTTGTTTGATATTTTTTATTGTACATATATACAATCAATATTTAAAAAAATATAGATAAAAAAACGTTTTTTTCGTATAATTTTCAAGATGGTGATCTAAATATGTGCGACCATCAATAAATTCTTTCAGATCAATTCGTTTTCAGCGATGAAATATACATAAAAAGAACCAAATTTCAAAAAAGTCATTGAAAGCATAACTAATCTGAATGTTTATCGATGTTTATTTGTTTTAATTTGATGTATTTTTCATCATTTTATTCAATTAATACACAATTTTTCTATTAAATTCTTCATTATTAGAGGTTTTCGACAATGGTCATATAATATACAGGGTGTATCCGAAATAACTAATTATACAGTACTACTCCTAATAAAAAACTGAGTCGAAAAGTCCTCTACCATTTTGCAATTTTCGTTTTTCAACTCAGTTTTTTATTAGGAATAGTTTGAATAGTGCACGTTATTTCAGACACACCCTGTATATTTGTTTAAGTAAGCAGATAAAATAATAAAATTTCTGATTTTATTAATTTCCAAAAAGTTTTATCCATTGATATCCTCAGAATCTAAAAAGTCGCGATGTATAATTATATACGCACGGATATTTCGAATTCCGTGATTTCCTCTTCTTTTCCTCGGAATCTCCGTATATAAATGAGTCTTTTCAAGCATGGAAAAACGCGAAATTAAAAAGTAATCTCGTTAAGTACCCTATAAGCGCAAAATGTTCCTAGAATGTTACATGGATATTATTAAAAAAATTAAAATAATGTTATTATAATATTTCGAAAATATCATAAATATTTTTTTAATATTACGGGAGTATTCTATAGAGATTATATATCCACTTATATAATACCCTAAGTATTATATCTTAATATTCCTGAAATATTATTAAAATACTTATAAATATTAATTATTTTTAATTTTGTGCAATTTGAATTCACAATCCAGTAATGAAAAGTTCTTATCAGTTTATGCTGCGTCTTGTGCTAAAAAAAACGTTTTTTTAAGTTACGTCATTTTAAGTACATATCCAGTTCTACAACTGCGCGCCAAAATCACATATTTTCAGTTTTTAAACGTATACTTATAGGGAGCTTTTCAACAAGTGACACTATGCGACACAGCAATCACCTCATCCTTGTTTAACATTGGCGAACAACAAGGATGCAACAATTCACCGTGTCACACCGTGTCACTCTGTTGGAAAGCTCCTATACTGAACAGGTGTAACAGTTTTACAAATTAAAGTAAATGCTGTTATAATACTTTTTAATGTTTATACAGTAAGATATTACAGTAAGATTAAATAAATGTTACTTTTAATAATTGTATAATATTATCAGGAGTGGACATATAACCTTTCATTAATATTTCGAGAATATCTTGTAATATTATATAATTTTAGCAAAATATTATTAAAATGTTACATTTAATATTCTAAGAATATGCCTAAAATATTACTTCATATTAAATAATGTTATGCGCTTATAGGGTGGTTGCATCCTCTAGTTCTTCATTACTTGGGGCGACGTGATGCCTTTTCAAACGCGTTAACATCGCGTCGTCGTTGAACGCAGACCCTCGCGATGCGAGCGCGACACACAGCGTGGCCAACATTTCCGACCTAAGAACGCGCAGTCGCGTGCCGATCCTGTCGGGTGGGAGAAGTGATCAGCTGCGTGTACAGAAGGAGAACGAAATGTTCATTCTGCAGAGGTCTATATCGTGAGTACCAGAAGGAAATTTCTTTTGACTCTCGATCTTAGAGACCGTTGATGCTTCGAGCGGTCGGAGGGTCTACGGCCCGTCGACATCATGAGCTGTTAACGCACGACGGGAAATCGGTGGACTACACGGATAACGCGAAGGGGCGGATGCGCTGATCCCTCGTTAGGGCACAGAGAGGATAACAATCGTTCGCGAGCAAAAAGAAACGTCATGTAACCTGACACGCGGGACAAATCGCAATGCGGTGCTGAAAATAGGAGCGCTTTGACAACCAGCGATCGATATCAGGTGAAGCCAGACTTGCCGTGACAGCAGAACCGTTTACCATGCTTTTGTTCAGGTGTTCCCGCCACTGGCGACAATTCGTTCTTTTGTTCTTTTTTGCGCTATCCCTGGCCTTCACCTGGCCTCGTTCGTCTCTCTGTGGCCTTGATCGTCAGAATACGAGTCTTTTTTTTGTGCGACGCTCGTCGTTCGTCAATTCAAGGTGTTCGGCGTCCTTCGAAAAGTAGCTTTCCAACGGAAATTCACCGTGTGTAGGCGTAATCCATATTTTGAGAATCTTTATATCTGAGCTAGTTATCAAGAAATATTGTTATAATTGATTAAACATTAGTGTCAAAAAACCATAGTTTAAGTTGCTCCTTTTTGATCAGAATTCTGCTGGAGTTCTTATCGGAGATCGATTATCAGTATCGTTTATTTAAACGGCATTGATTATGACTACTATTTATTTAAACGGTTAAATTTACTTTTTATGTAGTGTTTTTTCTTATTAAAAAAAAATCATTAGGTTTGGCACTCCTGCCGAAGATATTTTCAGAACTGGAAGAAAGTATGCGCGTGTGTGTTTAAAAAAAGATCATCAAAATCAGCGATTAGCTGGAAAGTTTTTTCGCCAGTCAGAGAGTCGAGACGCGAAAATTGTGGTCAGAATCTTAAATTTAAAAAAATCTGCTAACAAATTTCGATTTGTTTTAGAGTTTTCTTAGATTTCTTCAAATTCAATCATTAGCTTTAGCTGCAAGATAAAAATTGATACATATAAATGACTTAACACAATCCTCTTGACATTGTCTCAATTGATTTCTCAATAATTTTTTTTAACATTCTTAATTATTTACTGTTAATAACAAAAAATGAGTTAATATTTGGAACGAGTTCTCATTTATAATAACATTCCGCATTTTCCTGCATTTCATCACCATTTTCCGAATTAAATTGAGTAAAGCAACATTATTTTTACATAATAATCATTTTGTCGATTCTGTTGCGAAATAGAAGTTGGCGGAATTAAACGGATCATGAATAATCTCGTGACTCAAAGTCAAGGTAAAAATGGTAGCCGTCCGGAAACTATTGCACCAGGGACGTACAATTGCACGCAATAGATTCGGTTTCAGTAAACAACGAAAAAAGAATACACGGAGATATCTAATGGTAATATTTATTCTAGGAGATATCAGTCATGTGCAAAGAATTACAAAGTATCTCATTTTTAATAGTAATGCACAAAAATATTTTTATAATTTCGAAAAACAAAATTGGTTCAATAAAACTACACTCTTCAAAAAATTAGGGGATTACTTTGTCTCAGAAGGGAAGTTTCACAACCGGAACCGATTTGATTCTCCATGAAATATGTTGTTAAACACAAAAATCTAAGAGACACGTATTTTTTTATACGTGCCCTAACTCATGTTTAAGGGGTGAAACACCCCTTTGAAAAAAAACGGTATTTTTCTTTCGAGGCGAATATCGTCGGAAGTATAAAAGATAGAAAAAAATTTTTTAAACAAAAGTTGTACGGTTTCAAGAGTACTTCAATGTTGTAAAGAAAAATTTTTCAAATTTTTTTGTTTAACAAATTGCACTTTCAAATGAAAAAAAAACTGTTCTTTTTCCGAGACATTAACAAATTGATACTCTGGAATTACAAGCAATTATTTTTCATTGTACGGGCTAGTATAAATTTCAAATCAAATTTCATCTCAATAAACGACTTTTATATTTTGTGCACTAAGAACAACATATCGCACTTATTTTCTAGAATCAAATTGTAATCTATTTTATTTATATGTGTATATTTTCATTTTGAACTTACACTTTGAATAATATATCAGTTATTTTTCATGGTAATATATTATTAAATTTAGATAATATACACTTTATGTATGTTCACTTTGAACTGACACCTTTAATAATATATCAGTTACTTTTCATGGTAATATATTATTAGATAATCATTAAAATTTTTAAAGGTTTCAATTTTTGAGGATCTTTTTTTAAACAAGGCTTGACTTTTTCATTTTTGATATTTTTGGGACATCACCTACTTTTTAGAGTACAGATATACAGGGCAGCTTTCTAGTAATGCAAGTATCACAAATATACATGTATTTTCGATTCTTATCACGTAACTTTCTATAAGTTATAATTTATGCAATACAGTTAGAAAAAATTGTATTTTGTTTGTCGATGATTTGCGGAATACGCAAAAATTCCGGAGTGTGATCCATCATCTATCGATGCATGTAACAAACGGTTATGGCATCCATGGTGGAGATGGCATCTGTCAAAATCATACAGAATTGATGTACACAAGATGAAATCAAGACATGCATCTCGTGCGACACGACAAACACTTAAGATACTAATTGGATACTGCAAGATTTATAGAGTAAATACAAAAGAGTAAGCCAAATATAAAATTTTGTTCAAAACTTTACATTTCCAATGCGTTAAAAATTGATATAAGATAATTATTAATAATTATTAATAAAGTAATCCTGTTGCAAATTCTTACAAGAAAAATTCTTGTGAGATCTTCCAAAGAAAATTTTCACATACGAATTTCGGACAGGAACATACAAGATCGTATAAGAATGTATCGCATACGATACCTATAGGTAAATCAAGAATCTTGCATGAATCTTACACCCATGTTACATGAATCTTATAAGCATGTTACATGACTTTTACGTGCATGTTACATGAATCTTGCGCGCAGGTTACGTGAATCTTGCGCGTATGTAACGTGAATCTTAGAAGAATATAACTGGAGTGTCATTATGAAAATATTACAAGAATACTATGTAATTTTGTGTGATTTATTGCTCGTATTCCAGTAAATAAAATAGACAAGTAAAGAGTTGAACGTGATTTAAAAGAATTCATTTTGGCTAAAAATTAATTCTTTTTATACAAATAGAATAACGGCTTTTCGACGAAATCAAACTTAATTTGGGAAAGGAGCATAAAAATCTATGCCAGTTATTATAGCGAAATTATAATTTATCAATTCATTAAGACAGTGATAATATATTCAGTCATCTTCAGTATTCTAACAAATATTTTAATATTTCTTCATTCTTTTTCATTTCATATATTCAATTCAATTTCTGTTTATTTAATAATTCCATTTCGTTTCCTGGGATGATTGATACCTTTATTACTCTGAAGCGATCACGTAAAGAAATTATTTCTTAAAAGTATCTTATTAGGCTAAAGTAATTAAAATCTTTTTATTGTGATATAAATCGTCGTGTACGATTCATGTCAGATTCCTGCACCAACGTGAAAGATAAATTATTTCGTAACTATATTTTAAGACTGACACATGATCTTTCATGTAACACTTAGGAATCAGACATAATTAATACCATATTCTTAGATGATCCTGTAAAGAAATTATTTCTTAAAAGTATCTTATTAGGCTAAAGTAATTAAAATCTTTTTATTGTGATATAAATCGTCGTGTACGATTCATGCCAGATTCTTGTATCAACTTGGAAAATAAATTATTTCGTAACTATATGTCCCTTAATACTGATAAATAATCTTTCGTAAAACACTTCAGAATCATATATAATTAATACCATATTCTTAGATGATCCTGTAAAGAGACTACTTTTTAAAAGTTTCTTATAAGGTTAAGGCAAGTTCTTTTCATTGCGGTATAAATCGTTGTGTAAGATTCATTTCAGATTCTTAGGTCATTAAAGATTACTGGTGAGATTCATGTACAAATTATATAAGATTCTTATATAATCATGTTCGTTCATTTAGTAATCTTGATTGATTACATACAACTCTTTTAAGATCTGGTACAAAAAACTTACAAGAATTTTCAACAGAGAATATTATTAAAATTATATATTATATCATTACATATTAATTTATTGTATATGTTATATAATTGTATTACAATTATTAAAATTTTTTATGCAATATTTGACGAGACTGCTCTCAATAGTTTTTTTCATTTTTAGGACTTTTTATAGATAATATATAGAGCCTTACCATACAAGTAATTTTCTTGTGTCATAACATTTGTGTATACTATTACATAATGTACTTATAAATTATGTAATAATATAATAATTTATTTGCTATTATACTTTATATTGTACTTTATATTATTTCTTTACATCAGATATTTCAAACGAAAGGAATTGCTCTTTGCCCTATCACGCATCAATGTTGCAGACAGAAATTCTTTTCGTTTGGAATGTCTAATATAATTGAAATATTACAGTTAATATAAAGTATAATATTAGGAACTAAATTATTGTATATTATTATAATATATAATTTATAAATACAGTATACGCGAGGATTGTGAACAGGAACATTACCTTGTATGAGAAGGCTATAAATCAAAGTAGAATTCAGCTGAGTAGCTGTATCTAGGGTAGCGCGGGGCTAATTGTGACAGTTTTTCTTTAAATTATTATAAATCTTCACACAATTATGATAGACTAATGATAAATGCTTTAAAATGTTGCATGTTCATCTGGTTCAATAATTAAATACTTATAAATCCTTAATATATCTCGTAAATGAATAAAAAATTACGTTAATTACAAGGATGCAAAGTGGACCAATATGCCCCATCTATGGATAAGTTGAGCCATGAAGATAATCGTTTAATGAGGTTATATATTATTAAAAACATGAAAGGATTATATGTATATTAATCAAATTTTTATTATTTGCATCTTAAATATAATAATTTGTAATATTCTTTCTTTTTAAATTCTTTAATTAACAAAATTAGAAAAACTAAAATCTTTACTATTTATAATAATAATTAAACGTAAAATATATGTTTAATCGCTAACATAGAATAAAAAGCATCGATAAAGACAGATTTCATTTTAGTAGCTGAGTTTATAAGGTTAGTTATGAGATACTGGCCCAACAAGCCTCATATCAGTATTAACTGAAATACCTTTTTATAATTAAAAAATTGTAAATAAAATAGCAACTTAAACATTAAAATTAAAAAATACGATAATAACTTATATCCAAAAAACACATTTGATTATTCCATAAGATAGACCAAAAAGAATACTCACCTAATAATAATTTTACCTTTGATATACAAAAACGAAAAAGCGTACATATTTGGCTGTTGATAGCCGGATACAGATTATTGTATTAAGATACAATAATCTCTGTCTTTGTGCTACATTACGTAAGCATAGACGTATCTATATATATTTTGATTATTTAGATATTTGCATTTGACAAACTTGCCCCTATGCTCAAATAGCCCCGCTCTATCCTACATATTATCCATAGGAAAGACCTAAAAATAAAAAAGCTATAAGAAAAATCCCTTTACATAAAGGATTATTATATGACATATAATTTTTTGTATGTTACATTATATTAAACTAATCGATAATGATGATACAGTGAAAAAGCCTATGTGAGCCAACACAAGTTCTTCATGTATATATATTACAATTAAATTAAAATACAAACGTTTCAATACTGGTATTGGGTCCTTTTCAGTATAATAAATAAAGATGACAGCATTCAATAATAATGAAAAATTGAGTTCTATAATATTCGAGTCGTCAGATCATCGCTAACTCAAGCAGCAAAGCAGGGCATTTTAACCAAAGTCAGATCGCCCTATGAAGTAAAAAATTACCAATTCTTGACATGAAAAATGTCTTAAAAGTCAAATATCGTTTGAAGTTTTGTTTACAGGTCGAAAATTACAAAGTTTAAATCTATGAAATGCCTTTAAAATTCAGTGACTTTAAAGTTATACATTAGCTTATAAATGATCAAATTTTTATCAAATATGCGCCTTCAAAGTCAATTTAACTTATAAGTCAAAATTACAATTTCGTTTGAAGGAAATATGACCTGGTTGTATTACTTAATTTCAACCTCGTAGGCGATATGACTTAATTGATCAGAATTACCTAATTTTTGCCTTAGATAAAAGTCCTTTGTATTTGACTTGACTAATAAGAAATATTTAAGGTACAAAATAAACCTTGCGATCGTGTTGGAAGCTAACTACAAAGTTGTGATTATCACGGAAAATGACCTATGAGGGAAATTGATCCAAGTCGAAATGCCCAGCAAAATTGTCCTGAAGGATAATTATTAGTCTTAGACCTTATTGAAATTTGCCATCTATTATTATTGTGCCAACTTCTGTTTGCTGCGCAAATTTCATAAGATCTTTGTTCGTAATATTAGCTATTTCCTACTCAATTGGTCTGTTTTCTGTTCCTGCACTAGACTGCACTAGAACTCTCTTTCTCACTTTCGACAAATATCAAACATACATCTTTCTCTTTTTAAGTTACAAAAGTGTTTCAAGTACATTTTATTAAAAGAAAATATTAAAAATTTTGGAAATTTTTTTCAACCGGTTTTTTTCGAAAAAAATTTTCATAATTTTTTTTAAACGTCGCACCATTGAACCCTATAACATTTTTTTTTTTCGTCGAAATCGGTACATCCATTAAAGAGAAAATTCGTTTCATCAATTTTCAATTTTACCCTCATAACTCCCATAAAAAATTTTTTTCAGATATAATATTTTGCGAAATTCATTCTTGCGTCGCTGCTAACTTATGGTAAAAATCTCGACCAGATAAATGCGAGGACAGCATACACATACCTATCCTGCTAGGCCCTTAATTTTCCGAATGAAGGAAAAATGGAATTCTCGTTGTTTAATCTACGCGAACTCTAAACTCAGAGAAAAAAAGGTTCCCGTAACTTTAAAAGAGTATAGTTAAATAGCACCTCAATTATTTTTTAATTGATTATGGTAGTATAAAAATACCATAGTTAATTTAAATATTGTCAAAATATTGTCAAAAAATTAAATAATATAATTGATACGATTATACAGGGTGTCCCATTTTAATGTCCCACCCCAAATAATTTTTATTTTTGATCTTAGATCAAAGTAGCTTAAATAGATCAAAGTAGCTTAAGTAGCACCTTATTTATTTTTAATGGGTTACGGTAATAAAAATACTATAGTTAATTTACAGAAATATTGTCAAAATTAGTACTTGTGAATAGTACTGCGATTATTGCCATATTGCAATTTGATGAAATTACGTAATACATCAATACAAGTAAATCTTTAGATACGTGTAAATTTTTCACGCGTATTTTTATATCGGTTAGTAGCAGAAATTACGGAGGATCATGGATGAGGACGCTTCTACCTTCGTATATTGCTGTGAAGGACATACAACGGAGGGACATCCATGAGGTTTCGGGAGATGTGATACCAATAAACATGGTAAAGGGTATCGGACACCTCAGGGATCCTCGACTGAACAAGGTACCATTATCTCGCTTTGCTTAAATTTTTTTTAAATCTTTCGCTCTTAACGCCGGTTATGAACTAATTTGTAGTGTCCCTATAATCTGGAGATATGGTAGTGTCTCGGCGCTAAGACAAGCGCAGCTTCATGGCGCGAGACACTGCCGTGCTCCTTTACGCAAGCTGGCGTTGCGGCAGACTGAGATAATCGGATCGCAATATCGATTAAACTGATCAAGTTCTATATACACTCAATCGATAGTTACCACTCGGATTGTATAATAAGTGTTTTTATTTTTTTTTCTACATGCTCTACGAGCGGAGATATTGCGACGCAAATCTCTGAATCTCTAAATTTTATCATCATTTTAAGGTAGTACTAGCATAAAATGATTTTCTTACAAATGTGCTAAAATCTGACAACAAGTAAGTTGAAGTGCTCTCTATGTTTGTGTGCAATTAAAAACATATTGATCATCTAGTTTTTGAAATAATTACAATCAAAATATGCAGTTTTAACATGTGAAGCATATACGCAACTGAAGTTAATGTCAGATTTTTAATTGTAGTATTCATACCATTCTTAGGATTGTTACAAAAAACGAGCACGCGATGAAGGAATATGAGACAGATATTGTAAAAAAAGATCACCATTTTTAACCGTTTAGTTAGGAAAATAAAGCCACGAAAAGAACACAATTTCGATTACACCAATTATTAGTTTGAAATAATGGTTTAAAGAAACATTTATTTAATATTTATTAAATGTTTTTTAAACGTTTATTTGTAGTTAATTTTACGTTTTATGAATCGTTTTCAAAATTACATTTTTTAAACGTTTATATGAAATTTATTAAATGTTGATTTTTTGTTATTCATTTATTTAAAATATTTTATTTAATTAAAAACACATTTATTTAACGTTTATCTAACGTCTATTATAAATATATAAAAAATGTTATTATTTTATAAAATTCAAATTAAAACGGATCAGAATAATGAAATATTCACGGAAGAGAAGTTAACACAATATAATTGCGTTAAGTGTACCATATATGGACAATAAAAACTGTGTGCATCGATAGTTATAAGTTGCGTAACGGATAAGGTACGAGACTCGTAACCCTGAGGTTCCAGGTTCAAAACCCGATCAGTAAATGAAAAAGATTAAAAAGATGAAAAAAAGATTAAAATATAAGGTTTAATATAAATTTTGACAAAAGGGGACTCAGCTCCGATGACCTCGACCTTGACATATGTTGTCCTGAGTGACCTTGAACAAATTTTAGCCGTCGCTCGTTATTCGTTAAAAAGTTAGGAACAAAAAAAGTTCAACTATATAACACGAGAATTCCCTGCTTTAAAATATGCGCGCCATGCACCCGTAGGGGGGATCCCGTTTGCCTACAAATCGATTGCCTACAGCACCTTTTGCCTACATCCCATTTGCCTACAAATCGATTGCCTACATGTTCTATTGCCTACAGATCGATTGCCTACATGTATTATTGCCTACATGTACTATTGCCTACATGTACTTTTGCCTACATGCATTATTGCCTACAGCTCGATTGCCTACAAGCACTTTTGCGCACAAATAAAAATTTTAGAAACAGAATTACTTTGCCTACATGCATTATTGCCTACAGCTCGATTGCCTACATGTACTATTGCCTACAGCTCGATTGCCTACATGTACTATTGCCTACATGCATTATTGCCTACAGCTCGATTGCCTACATGTACTATTGCCTACAGCTCGATTGCCTACAGCTCGATTGCCTACAAGCACTTTTGCGCACAAATAAAAATTTAGGTAAAGGTATAGAATACCCGTCTCACCTCCGATTTTGATGAAATTAGGCTTATTCGACGCGTTTTTGCACGAA